CCCAGAACGTCATTTGTGTTGAAGAGACTGGGGCAGATCCGGGCCGAAGTTCGCTTGCCGCGGCGACGCCTTTTGTTCGCAGCCCTTTTTACGGGCCACTGGACCAGAACTTCCCCTACCCTTCCCCCCCTTCCCTCCCCACTTCCCCCCTCACCCGCCCCACTTCCTCCCTTACCCGCCCCACTTCCCCCCTTACCCGCCCCACTCGCGTTGGTTTTTGCTTGGAGCAAGCAAGTCCCCGGAGACATTTAGATTGGCACCTGACTCGCCCCCGAGGTGGGCGCGCCGGGAGACTTTGGATATTCGCAGGTCAGGAAGTCGGAGCCCCAGGCCTTCTTTGGCGCCAATTTCGGGGGGTTTTCCCTGCGATTGTTCAAGCCCCAAAATCAACAAAACGCCCCCACACCTCGGCGTGGATTTGGGGTTTTGCAATTCTGGGTCTTGTGGGTAAATGGGACCCACAACCAACCAATACAAACAAGAGTATGGGTCAAAATGAGTCACCAGGATGTGGACAGCAGGCTTTTCCTTGGTTCCATTTGCCGAACGGACAACCCTTTTTGGGGTTACCCGATTTTTGACAACCACAGCCAAATCAGGGACCCCTGAATCACTGAAGACTGAAGAGTTTCTTTTGGTTTCCGTTAGGCCAATCCAAAAAGGGGGCCCCTATTTTGAGAGACATGTGTTTATGCCTGGGTTGAAACAGCCTCCCGTCATGGGTCTGGTTGTTGATTCACACAAATGCGCAATTTGGTCTTTGCTCTTTTGGATTGGTGGTTTGGGGATTTGAAGCTCTGGTAAACGGGAAACCGCCCCCTAACCTCCAAATTACCACCTATCCAAACCGTCAATCAGAGGGAGGCTGATTAATGGCTGGTGAACAGAGAAAGGTGGCACCCCAACAACTGCCGCATTTTTAGAGGGCCATTTGTCCGCTCAGGCCTACAGACTACTTGCACACCTGCCGCGACCTGTGTGGACTCGCACACATCAGGCGCTGCATGAATTCTCTGCCGAAGTCCTTTCGGTTCTTTGGTATCATTTTTTTCCGTTTTGGTGGTTTCCCCGGCGAAGGAAAAGGTCACGGTCAATTCCAAAAAAGGGCTCCCTTCTGTAGTGACCAGGGTAACTGCGCGGGAAGGAATCAAGTAGTCATGGGGATGGGAATCCCGGCAAGGTTCAGGCATCCATGGTTGTCCTAGACCACCTTGCAACAAAAATGCATCGCTCCCCCGAAAGCAGCACGTGGTTCCTTTTAGAGGGAAATCCAAGCTCTTCATACAATTTTCCAGCAAAGAAGACGAGAGCGTTTCAAGAGGATGGTCTTCTAAAATCATCCTATCGTCCACTTCCATGATTGGAACGGACCGTCATGGGCCTCTCGTGGAAATAGAGACACCAGAGCCCTTTGCCACCTGGAAATCAAACGGAAAGACATCGGACACCAAGCGGTGAAAATCGTTTTCAAGAGGTTTCAGGTGTTTGCCTTTTACACCCCTTCTCGCGGTTTGCGCTCCCAGCGTTCGTGTGTACGAATACTTTGGGTCGGATCTGCAAAATCAGTGGGCTATGGGCCGGAGTGCTCAAAGATTTTCGGGCTGGGCACAGGTGGAATCGAACGAAGGTACATCCAAGTTGTGCTTTCTGGGTGGCTCTTTTGCCGCAGATTGCCTCATGTTCCTACTAGAGCTTGACTTTCTGCAGAGTTCAAACTCATGGGTTTCAGTGGCGCAAGCGTCTCATCTTTCAGGGGTGCGACTCAAGTCTCGGTTGTCCTTGGCTTGCCGTCCGGTTCCTTAGCTTTTTAGTTGGTTTAGTAGTTGGGTTTCCATTTGGACCACTAAACCTGTAGCGGGGGATCTGAGGACAGTGGCATGAGGCTCCCAGGGTCTGTGTTTTGATTCACCTCGCTTGCGCGGTGCGCGCCGCGCCGGCTTACGGAGATTCGCGGCTTGCGGCACAGTTCCAAGCGCGCGCTTGGACTTGGATCACATTTTTTTTGGGCGGGTAGATCATTAAACAACCAATGGCTGGGGAGTCACAAAACCGGTACCGAAATGGAACCCTGGTAAGTGGAAACCTGGTACCCAAAACCTGCGGTTTATGGCTGGGGGGTCACTCCTGGGTATCAACGTCAGCACCCGAAAGCAAACCCCTTCACCATATGGGAAGTGTTTGCCGAAACCAAGAGAAACCAGAACGACGAAAATCCGAACGGCGAAGGTTGACCCCACATGAATAACCCCCAGTTCATGAATAGGGGGTGTCCCCTGGGTTTAGTGGGGATGCATAGAGTTTTGGAGGGGACCACCCCCATATAAACTGGGGTTGATGAATCTGGGGTCAACATTACTTGGGTGGTTCTCTGAAAAAGACCCTTTGGTGAAGTATAAGCCGTTCTTGGTGGCGGCACTTTGTCGACCGTTCCTGAGTGCTTACTTAGCACATATTGGCTTTCCCCAGAAAGCAGAAGGAGATGTATACGTTTTCTCATTTGTCCAGACTCCCGAAAATCAGTCACGTAACTTCTGTGGAGCCCTAAAAATGATGCTCTTCCCTGTAAACACCAAGCCCTGGTTTCAAGCGTGCGCATTGGGTTTCACAACCATCCACAGTATGTGGGATCGGCTTTCGGCCATGAGCATGGGTAGCTTTCCCCATAGAGATCAACCACATGAACCATCCACTGGAACCATCCGCATGAACCATCCGCATGAATGACTCGGCAAGCTTTCCCGCTGAACCACCCAACCGCATCGACCTTCCCTCTAGCCAGCGCCATGGCCAGCGCCGGCACGACGAATCTCCTGCCACAGGCGGGTTCGAAGGTCCGAGCCGACGGAGAACCGACGCAGGCATTTCCCTTGGGGAGCCGCCAGCCGGCGATGGTTTCAATGGGGAACACCAGTCAACTAGTAACCTTTGCCAGGGGAGTCCTCCAACTCTTTGGGAGTGCCAGACATTGCCTAACACTAGCCCGGTTGGGGGGTTCCTTTACATCTTGACCAGCAGCAAGCTCACTTCGTGCAGGGGGGGGTTAATTCTGGCCACTGCCTGCGCTTGGCGGTTTTTTGGTGGGGCCAAGAGTCGTTTGGTAGACCCCTTCAATACCGTTTTGTGATGGGTTTCCGTCGTGCTGCTTGTATATTGTTTCCAGGTTTTTGGGGAATCCTTTGTTCGAGCCGAATCTTCCGAATTCTCTCCTTCGGGTAGCAGCAAATGCAATGGTCAGTAGGCAACACCCAGGGTCTTTGCAACACAAATTGATTTGCAGAGTAGACGACATTTGGGCTATGAAATCCAGGATGCTATGTTTTGGGCTGGTTTCAGAGGGAGTCCAAACGAAATACCCTCCTTGGTTTCGGTCGCCCTATTTTGACACACCCATTTAAGCAAGGCCCAAGGTATAACCGAAGCAAGGGATGACGTCCATGAATCGGTCTTGGTCGCAAGACCAAGAGGCAGCCCCGAACCACCACCAACTCTGAGTCTGTTGCCACATGGCCCTTCGCTGTCGTCATTTTGGGTGGTTAAAGCCATATGGGTGTGGGTCAAAATTAAGCCACCAGGGGACCGCAGGTTTTAGTCTTTGGTTCCATTTACCAGGGTTCGATTTTGGGTACCTATTTTTGACCCACAGCCATATCAGGTCACCTCTTGAGCCCGGCGGTTTGGAGCGAGCCCGGCGGTTCGGATTTGAACCCGCTTGTAGAGGGCAGAGTTGTAAAACCACTCAGCCACCAAGCCGCCAACCGTTTGACCAAACGAGGGAAGCTGACCATAAGCCTTAGCTAAAAGCCGTCCCTTCCACTGTGACAAACGGGTGGCCAAACGTCCGAGGGCCCAGCTTCGTGCCAAACTTTCAGGCGTAAGGATTTTTGGGCACCGGCTATACCTCGATGTTTTGATTTTTTGTTGCGCGCGCGGTTTCATTCGGTAAACCCGAGCCGGGTCTTAAGCTCCAAAGCGAGACCGCCGTTCCGCTTTTAGGGAGAGCTGTGCTCGGCCTTCGGTTTTCCTCCGGGTTCCCCCTCTCAAACACCAAAACCAGGTACCAAGTTCCAAAAAACGACGCTCAAACACCAAAAAAAGGTACCAACTCCCAAAAAAAACAAGCTCTACATGCGTCTGTTTTGTTTGTCCACCCGGATCGGATGCAGGGCGCCGGATCGATCGACCGTTCCGAGGCGGGTCCCCACGTTCACGAGGCGCAGCTCTACTTGGGGCTGCTACGACTCTCTGTGGCGCGGACTGACAGAAGGACCCGAGGCCCTGCGACTTTTCTTGGGTCCCCCAGGTGCCAACTTTCTCACCCGTTTCTTTTTTGGGTTGGGAGGCTTCCCCTACTAAAATAGACTACAGAAAAAAGGAAGGGTACCCTTATTCTAAGCTCTCCCTTGCGGAGTTGGAGATGGATCCTTTCGGGGTTTTAGATCACCATTACTAGGGTTCCGCAAAAAGGCCATGACAATGGCCCACACCATGAGTTTTGTTCGTAGAATAGGGGTTCCCAACAAATTGATGGTGTCCTTTCATGTTTCTAAAAGGGAAGGAACAAAAAAGACCCATTTTCTGAAATGAATGTGATTTACCTTTTTCTTTTTACAGGCTGGTTTTAAAGGGAACCTATCTTTGAGAAATTGTTATTTTCAGGGGGCTTAAGCAAATGGACTTTGGAGTGGGCAAACCCCTCAAACTCGACCAACAAAAGGGTGCCAATCCATGGACGTTTACTGGGGGTCTGGGCAACTTTTTTCTCCCTTTGGTTTCTGAAGCCAACCCCCAAGGGTAGGTTTTGGTTCTGATTGTGGCTCATACAGCAATTGCCCGAACCAAGTTTTTTGTTGGAAACTCTCCAATTCACGCACCCTGTTCAGCACGTCGCCCCGCTTTTTCCCCCCCCCCCCCCCGAAAGCTCTCCCAAGACACGCCCTGTTCAGCGTAAAAAAGCGGGCGCCCCGTGTGTTTCAAGCGGTGAGGTGGTGGCTTTGTATGTGATGGCTTTCTTTCAGCTGATCTTCTGGCTGCCGATGCTGGCGCTGGTGAGCCTCTCTGCGGCGCTGTGCGGCAGCCTGCTGCTGCAGGAGTCTCCCATGGGCATTTCCAGGGGTTGTCTTTTTGGGGGCCGCACATGTGATTTTGTTTGGCCCCACATGAAACGGGCCACCAAAACTGAACTTGGGGTTGAGTTATCTTGATTGCTATTTGGTTGGATCTTTGGACTTTGACTTTCTGGGAAACAGGTCAGAGAATCCATTGGAGCCACAAAAAGACAAACGCTTTTGCAGAGGGGTCAACAGCAACCAAGTTGTGACTCGTTTTGCGTGCTCCAGCTCACTTTTTTGCCAGCTGGAAAACATGTTTCCTCACAAACATGGATGTGCACAGATTTGAACGTCCTTTGCTTGTTCTCAGCAGGGGAATGAGGGAATGAGCCCTATAAACCAAGTTCTTTTTAAAGGGGATCCATTAGCTCATTCCCAAAACTTCTGCTGATTCCCTACTGAGAACCCCTCGAAGAAAAACAAATCCATCGCGGCAAAACTGAACCGTTTTGCGAGCGTCTTTCTCTTTGTTTTGGCCAACCCTCCTTTGCAGACTTTTCTAGGGAGATCCACAGACTACCCATTGTTGCTCCCGTCATTTTGACGAGCTGTGGGATTTGCCCAAGGGAAATTGAGTTAAGATTGACCTTTTCCTTAATGGTGATTTGTCATCTCATGGTTGCGGGAAAATCGGCTCAAAGGGCCACTTTCTTTGATAGATAAACTCCGAGGTGAGGTGATGAAGCAGTGGGTGGGAATGCCGCCGAGGATTTTTTTAAACATGTTGCACCCACAAAAGGGACATGAGGTCCGTTGCGGCCTTCTCTTGTGTTTCGGGGGGATTGTCCATGTCTTTGCACTGGTTGATCCCGTGTTCAGTCTTTTCGCCCCATGCTTTTATAGGTCAAAATGGGCGTGTCAGCTTCCTCAGGGTACTTTGGAGTTCCATTTTGGAACAACCTGAGATCTCACCCTCCGTTGCCACACCTGACCGGATGGCTGGGGAAATTCAGGTACAGCTGGAGGGAGAGGGGCAGGGGTGTTGATTATCCGAAGCCTTTTTTGGGTTTGATTCTGCCTTGGGTTTGATTCGGCCATCTCAAAAGAGAAGGCGGGCAAGCGCCCCCTTGAAAAGGGACCCCATTTGGGCTGGGGGGAAACATTGTTGGATCGATTCTTTCGAAGGGCCAAAAGGAACGCCACCCCTTTTTGGGGTAGAGACAAACCCATATGGCCATGGGTCAAAATTCCGAACCCCCATTGAACATCCCAATCCCCACTAAAATAGGTTCTAAAATGGGTGGTGAATTCACCTACCAACCAAAATGGGATCCCGTTGGTCTTGACAACCACAGCCACATGTTTCAAACCCATATGGCTGTGGGTCAAAACCAATGGTACCGTTTTGGGGTAGGTGCACCACCCATTTTAGAACCTATTTTAGTAGGGATTCTGGATGTTCACTGGGGGTTTGGGATTTTGACCCATGGCCATATGTTTCGACTACGGAAGGCGCAACCCACCCCTCCTTTCTCCGCCAGGCGGACCCGTGGCTGCCCTGCGCACCGCTTGTGGCGAAGGCGGCGCAGAGTCTGCAGAGCAAACAGCTGGAGGAGACGTCGACGTGACCCGGGCGACCTAGATAGCCAAGTTTCTGCCTTTTTCAGTCACTGTTGCTGGTTTTTTGGGGTAGAGTGCATGGAAAAAAGCAGCAACTGGCGATCCAGGCATATGTCTTGTTTTCCCTTTTGTGGGGGGTACCCGGAAGAGACGTTCTGAAGTTTGGGCATGTTGTGTCAGGTGCAGAAGTCGGTGCAGAGTGGCTAGGTTCTTCGAATTCAAACCTGATGTCATCCACTTCGAAGGGGCTTGGCAAGGGATGCTTGGATTTGCCATCGAGCCAAGGATATGCCCTAGGCATCAGCCAGCGCCCTCTTGGTTCTCACCGGGGCTGGGCGGTTCCTGTAGTTAATTTCCCTACACCAACCGGAAACCAAGTCACCCAACAGACCCCAACTTGGCTGGCTTGGATCTTTAGATTGTGACGTTATGAAATCGCCGGACTTTTGCAATGCAAGAAGCTTAGCTTTTTGAGCGGGGGGTAATAGCCGTCAAGGGCCATCAAGCTTTCTTGCGTCCTTCTTTTGCACGAAACCAGGGAAGCAGGGTTAGCGGCGGGGGTGGCGGGAGGTTGTAAGAGAATTACTTACGATTCCAGGTTTGACTATCCTCGGGCGTTTTGGTGGCATGGTATGCAAAGGTGAAGGTAGGGAGCCCTGTCCGTTAAGAATCACTGCCTGGGACCCTTTTTGTAGCTGCCCTTTCCTCTCCTCTTTTGGCCTTTGTGATTTCCCCCTCCCCTCCCAAGTCGCTCTTGCAGCAGGTTGTTGTGTTTAGGGTTTGGGCGTACCCCCGATTTTCTCATCTACTCCTGCAGGGGTCCTTTGGTAATAACGAAGCCTCTTGCGTCAAGTGTTGAGGTTTGGTGGCTTTTGACTGCCCACCTATTTAGGTTAGAAAAGCCCAACGCGCCAAGCGCGTGCAAGAAGAGACCCCAAAAGTACCAAGAGATCAAGTCTAAGCAAACATAAACCAACCTACATCCAAGCCTAACGCTGAACCAACTGTTGACCTTACCTGAGCCTCAAGCAGCTCGACCTGCCTAAACCTACTAAACCAAACCCACACCTAAACACTTTTTGTTAGTTCAAGGGACATCCAGTTTAAAGTAATATTAAGTTATGTGAGAGATAGAGTACACCCACTTTGGTATCACAGGGGTTATGTTTCACAGCCAAACCCTCCTGACTGTGGCGAATGGCTAAACTTTGAGCCAAGGAACCAAGTCCACCCAAGTCCTTTCACCCATGGAACCTGACGTTTCGGGGTCCTGGAAGACGATGTTTTTCTTTTAAAGGGACCATCTCTCTGTTCCATGGCAGCACCGTGGTACGTTCACCCCGAAGCCTTCCAGATTTCAACAGGACGGCCTGCTGTTTCTGGACCCCTTCGCGGCTTGCTGCTGCGTGGGCACGGTCTTGAGCTGTCTGGATCTGCTCATCTCCATGCCCTCCCACTCCACCGGCATGGCCGGAAGTCTGAGGCCGATGGGAAAGCGGGACACGCGGAGGCAGATGGGTCTCCAACTTCTGAGATGCGCCATGGGCATGAAATTTAAAAGAAGGGACCCTTTGGTGGACATCAAAGGTGGGGATTTCTAAATCCACCACTTTTGAGGTGGTTCCCTTTAACATTCATGGCCAAGTATGAAACATCTGAAGATATGAAGTGTCCCCCAGAGGTGGGCCATGGGGCATTTTTTTCCAGCGCCCCGAACTGGCAGCTGATTTAGAGGATCCCCTTGTAAAGCAAGGGGCGGGTGTTGGGATGTATGCTGAGGAACCCTTGGGTCTCTGCCCAATCCGTTCTTTCAGCTTTCCGGAGATTCAGTTTCAGGGGGGGTCGGACTGGGGATAGCACCGTATGCTTCTTGTTTAGGTGGGGGCGGGGGTCACCGGCTTTCCCAAAGCAAACCAATTCACAACACGTTGGCAGGCACCTGCAACAGGTTGAGGCAGAGCTCGCGCATGATTTTCTTCTCCCAGCTCAGAGCCAACCAGTTCTAACAAAAGGCAGCTTACCTATTGACTTAGCACTTTCAACTTGTTGCTAGATGTCTTCCGCTGAGTCGACTGAAGTTAGGAAGTCTGTGTGAACTTTTCCGGCTGGATCGTCTCAGTGGGTTGTTTTTGATGTGGTTGTTTTTGTTGGGTGCTGTTTGTATTGTTTCCAACGCATCCTGTCCTGGTGTTCTTGACAAAGAAACCAAACGGAGCTTAAACCGAATGGAGCTTTAAACAAACAAACACAAGATTTGTTAACACGGCAAAAGAAGGGGCTGGTCCAAGCCCGCGCTAAACCACCTAGGGCAAGCAGGGTTGGGACTTGGTTGGACCAACATGAGGCTGCTCAAAGAGTGAATGTTTGGCACCGGCTAATGTGGGAGAAGGGGTGAACGGGATATGGCAAACATGGCCACACGCTTTGTATGTGTATCTCGGTTCTTTTCAAGACAACTCTAAGAAGTGTCTAGGGACAACACAAACACAATCAAACACAAACGGCAGGATGCTTTGTGTAAGGTCTCAAGGGGGGTTCTTCGCTTTAGGACACAGCCAACTTTGGCGACGAATTACTTTGGGGCTGGAAACCCGAGTATCGATCTTGCCCCGGGAACTGGAAGACATTGGAGACTCAAAGGGTGGACTCGCTTAGCCTTACGGGGCAAAAGAGGGGTTTCAAAGCCGCAAGCAAGGAGACTGCACATGTGGAGGTTTTCTTTTTCGTTTCGTACGAAACGGGCCCCAACCCTGGGGTTGAGCGATTAGGATCAACTTGGGGTTGAGTCATGATGCTTTGAGCATGAAAGAATAGGGCCTGAACATTGACCCAGCATGCGGCGCGTTCGCTGTTGGGATTTGGGGAATCGGCGAACTGCGCTCAGAGACCATAGGAAAAGAGGTTGGGCCTGCAAAAGATGGAGACAACAAATGGGTTACCGATGGTCAACAGTGCCTCAAGACATTCAAGGTCAGTTCCAAATGGGTCTGTCTTTGTTAGGGAACCCCTGTTTTTGGCCTGTTTTGAAGAGAACGACCACGATAATCATGTTATTTCCCTTTGTTGGTGGGGAGGGGGCATGAATGAAAAGAACCACAGAGACACAACTAGCAATGACATCGACCAACATGTTTTTTTGTTGTTGCCAGAACAGAGAGACACAGATTGCATACCTTGTTATTTATTTGTTCATGTTTGTATTTTTTGCAAGACAATTGTTGTATTCTGATCTTTAATCCTTTTTTTTGGGGTGGGGTGGGGTGGGTGGGAATTACAGACATGGCATTTGTTTGTTGGTTCTTTTTCTGGGGTTTGAATGGGGTAGGCCCTTGGCCGTACTGCTGGGCGGCACCATCCACTCCGTGACCTTCGCGGGGGCTTGGCACCTGCGCGGTTTGATGTGGCGCCCCCACGGGGGCGTGACCTACGCCGAGCCTCGGCCTGTGCGCCGGGGGTGCGGGGGGTTGGGAGAAGCGGCAGAAGGGGTGGATGGGGAAAACCCCAGATTTGCGGGGGTTGCTTCCTTTTCCATTCTTTTAAATCATCGTACTATAGAAACCTGCCGTTTTTTCTGGGTTTCTGGAGGTTTTCTGGAAAGAAGGATCCCTGGAAAGGATGGGGAAGGTACACCTAGAATATTCATCAACCTTAGCTTCTTTATAGGGGGTGGGGGGTTCATAATGATTAATGTTGACCCCATACAAAAATCACCCCTAGCTTTTTGATAGGGGGTGGGGGGTGTTTGGCCCTCCAAAAGTGGTCTGATTCCAACCACTAAACCTAGGGACAACCCCCTAGAAATAAACTGGGGTTCATTGGTACGGGGTCAACATTGCTGGGCGGTTCCCAGCGAATGATTCGGTTACTTGGCTTTCAGTGGCTTTTAGTTGGTTTAGTGGCATTCACTTTTAGCAGTGGATGTGAGGACAGGCCACACAGGGCTTCCGAGGATTCGAAGACACCCCGTGGTGCACAAAACTGTTTCCCCATGGCCACTGGTCTGGGTTGAAGATTACTCTGGCCGTACCTTCCCCATTCTCTTGAGGGATCGTTGTCTTCAAAGAGTGGGCCAGGCCGGGAGGGAGCGGAGGTGGGCTTTGACGTGGCAAGCACCAGGGAGGCCTTTCCTTTGCTTCGAACTTTAGAAGCTTTTGACCTGCAATGAGCCATGCACTAACACCCAGATCTCCAGCAGGCGCCTTTTCCTTCGTTTCCTTTACGCGTTACAAGGAAAGCTTTGCCGCGCAGCGCGTCTCGACCAGGTCGTTGCGCACCTCTCTGCGCTCTGCCTTTCGCGCGGCCTCGCTTCTGCTCTTCGCGCAAAGCTCTCCTCTTAATGTCCCACTGGTAGGGTCGGTGTGTCTATATCCAATGCTTAATTCAGCTTTTAAGGTTGTAGGTTTCCTCGCGGGGGTGAGATTGGCGGGCGCCGGCAGGAGGAACTCTCTGCAGGAACTGCGCGTGTCGAAGCGCTCCCGTGGAAACGCGCCGAGCCCCGGCCCGTTGCCCCAGGACATCTACCAAGCTGCCGCTGGCAGGGAAACCCCGGAGCCGCCTTTGGCGCAGGAGCCTTTCTCATGTTTGTCAGGAATGAACCATCCCTTGAGGTGTCCTCTGATGTCTAGGTTCATTCCCAAGCCCCGAAATTGAGAGCATGCAAGTTTCAATCTGCCCATGTTGGAAGTGCACAGGCCCCTGTTGCGTGTTCGGGTGGGCCACGTTCTCAGATACCAAAGGATTCCTGATGAAAGTTATATTTAGTCGGAACCAGGTGCCTGCCCTTGTTCTAGAAGCAAGACAAAGCGACGACAGAGCGTGGAAGGATGAACTAGAAGAACCTGGTTTGTTTCTTTTCCAATCCGCAAATGGAGCTGCTACGCCTGCGCCAAACAGGCTACCCCTAAAGCACGCACCACTTGTTGCACTTTCCTCCCTAAAACGGGAAGCTCCCCGCTGTTTGGGGGCGTTGTGTAACAACCCGGGTTGGGCAACGTCCCCTTGAAGGAAAAATGCCCAACGAGTTCTTGGCCATACTGTGGACGACATCCACTTAGCACCAGTTGGTGGATTGCTTCTCCCAGCATGCAAAATCCGTTTCCTCCAGGCACAGTATGGCCAACAACCCCATGGCCCAGTGGCACTGGTAGAAGACTTGCCCCCCTTTCGGGGGGCCTGGCGGTTGTTCTTCTTTTTTTTCTGGAGCCAAAAAACCTTGGGTTGTCCGGGTTTCGTTTTGCCAGGACGTGGAGGCTCCGAAGGCCGGCGGCCTGCAACTGGCGAGTTCCGCGAGCGGCCCGGCCCTGAGCCATTGGCTCTCGGGTAGATGAGGGTTTTGTAAGGGACAGTCCCAACCACAGATGGGTGCGGCCGCCCTCATTTTTTTTTTACGTGGTTTTGGGTAGACCATTTAAATACCAGGTTTGGATTGCCACTTGGCTTACGCGAACTTCTGAGGAAAACCTCAAAGGAGACTGATCGCTTCGGATTCCGCTGTGTCTTACCTCGGATTCCAAGCTGGGAGGACTCCTTGCCGGGTTCTTCGCGATGTCAGTCTGCCAAAACAAGCCACGGGGGAACTCAGAATCGGGGTTTGGGGTACAAAACCAATTAAAGTCATGACAGCCAGCGAGTCATGCTTGTCATTCTCTCGGCCCTGCTCGTCTGCCATTGGGTCGCCCTCGAAAAGAGAGGTGAGCTCAGGTCACGAAGCCGGCGGCGGCACCGGCGGAACGGGCTCGGCACGGGCAGAGGCCCCAAAGGCCCCGGCGCCGGCGCCGTCGGCCCCGGCGGCCCCGGCGGCCCCGGCGCCAGCGGCCCCGGCGCCGGTGCCTGTGCCAGTGCCCGCAGCGCCTGAAGGCTGGGCGCCAGAGTGGTTCTGTGCATTGGAAATCAAAGCTAGGTCCCTGGTCCATTGCCCAATCTCTGCGCCCACTCTCCAGACAACACCCATTTTGCCTTGGCCTGCAGGCCTGGCAGTTCTGTGGTAGTCCTGTTGATTTCCCAGCAAAATTCCAATCCCAGCGGACATGGGAAGTTTCGCTTACATCAACCACTCGGTCTAAGTCCACCTAGAAATCAAAAAGGAGGGCCATTTGTGTCAGCTCAGAGATTTAAAGCAGGATGTGGTTTGTGTGTGTGTGTGCTATTTGCATTCACGCCCGTTTTGGCTTTTAAGGTCATCACAAAGCCGAATACCGGCTTTCAAAGCAAGGGTTTGTTGGGGGTTGGGGGGGGGGGTAGCCCCGCATAGGGCCACTAAGAAGAAAGCGCGCGATTACACCATGTGATGTGGAGGCGCTGCTGGTGCTGGGAGTCTCAGTGGTGAGACACCAAAAGCAGCGAAAGCTGGCAAGAAGCCAGCCGGAGAAGAACAAAACACATTTTGCAAACAAGGGCCCCGGATCAAGAATTGAATCCTCCTCCGACACCCGATCGTTCACGTGTTGAAAACAAGGGGCTAACCGGTTGAGCTGAACATGCGGCCAAGCGGCCAAACCGTGAACCAGTAGGAACAAAGAAGGTATCCGAAGGCAAAGAAATTACAAGAACAGCACCCTGCTGTTTGGGTGTCAAGCAAACCTCCCCCCCCCCCACCCCAAATACGGTGCTTCCCTCAGCCGGTGTACCCCCCCCCCCCCCCCCCCCCGTGGTTCGGCCCCCAGTGTTGACCACGGGTAACTTTGCTCATGTGGGACATATCATCTTTTTAGTGGTTTCCAACCAGGGGTCACATATGAAGGACCTTTTGATCACCCCCCATGTGGTCTGGCTGTTTCCCATTTGGTTTGGAGGGGGCAGTTCTGGGTTTAAACTCAGCTCACAAGATAGTTTTGTTTGCATTTGGGTAAAACATCAGCGGTAGGCGAGCCTGCGGAGGATGACAAGGCGCGTCCGTTGCGGCCGACGCCGAACAAACCCGAGCTCAGTTTGGTAGGGGGTGAAACCCATGAGGTCCTTTGCTGGGAATCAGGATTTTGGCGCTGTTTCTGGGGGTTATTAGAGTTAGAAACTGTGGTTTCCCATTAACCTACCACTGAACGGGGGTGACTTGGCTAGTGGTGAAAGATTGGGGCCGGCTTGAATTCCTGCCAAATCCAAGTAGTATCGCACGGAATTCCTGCACCCCGTCTGTTTCCTTTAGCATCAAATACCACGCTGGCACGCACTGGCCTGAGACGAATTTTGGCGATGGAGTAGCCCGCTCGTTGGCAGATCTTGTTGGGGATCCGCGCCTCGGGTACCTGGGCCACACTTTGGCTGTCCCGTGGAAACCTCAAAAATTTCTTCGGCAGCCGCCGCAAAACGCCGGGCGCTTCTTGCTCCATTCTGTCGGCAGTGTTTCCCCGGTTAGGCATGCGATGTGTTGCAACCAATCAAAGGACACAACAAAATAACGACCTTAATTCACAACCAAAAAATGTGAAAAGGACCTTGGGCATTCCCCTTGGTTTAGAATGGCCTCTTTAGGATCCCTTTTCCCCGTTTCGAAGATCCAAGAAGTGAGTCACCCGAGGTCGCCGCCTCAAGCAGCAGCGCAGGCGGGCCTTGTTTTGACGCCGGGCTTTCGTCGGCTCCAAGAAAGACGAGCTTGCCATTGAGCACAGAACTTTTGTCAGAACCCGCAAGTATATGGTTTTACCTTTCTTGGGCCGGGTAGGCAAAAAGTAGCCCTCAGCAGGGCCACGCCGCTGCTTGTTTGCGGCCGGGTGGGAACTCCCTGTTCCGTGCTTGGGGGGTTCTTACTGGCGCGGACACTTCTTTCAAGCCCAACAGAAACCAATAAACAAGATGTTGCAAAATGGCCTTCAAATGTCCACGCGTCACTCAAGCCAACCGCTTCATGTGCGGGATGCTACCCGGATTGCGTGGGCAATATGCACCAGGATCAAAGCAGATGACACAGTTCCCCTTCCGTGGGTGAAATAAGGGGGATGACTGAGCCAAAATGCGGCTGTGGGTCAAAACCATCGGTACCATTTTGGGGTAGGTGCACCACCATTTTAGCACCTATTTTTTAGTGATTGGGATGTTCACTGGGGGCTAACCGGGCTTTTGACCCATGGCCATTTAAGTCCATCTCTCAACTCGTGGCGGTGCTCAGCCATACCCTGAAAGTCTAAAGCTTGGAGTTTAGGATTCCCGCCAGCAGTACCTTCTAGCAAGGGGAGCAACGAACAACATTCAGAACCGCAGGTGTCCTTTTCAGGTTAGTTGATTAGAAATAGATGGCGCTGGGATAGAATTGGTTCATTCCGTTTACCAGGGCCCTCGACTTTTTCACAAGGCCTATGTTGAGACCTCCTGCGGGCTGGAGCGCGAGGCGCCGATGCCG